CTAGAGAAAGTGCAAAGGTTTGCAACAAGACTAGTCCCAGAGCTAAGAGGTATGTCCTACGAGGAGAGGTTAAGGGAAATCAACCTGACGACACTTTAGGACAGGAGAGATAGGGGGGACATGACAGCGACATACAAAATACTGAGAGGAATTGACAAGGTGGACAAAGACAGGATGTTCCAGAGATTGGACGCAGTAACAAGGGGACACAGTTGGAAGTTGAAGACACAGATGAATCACAGGGATGTTAGGAAGTATTTCTTCAGCCACAGAGTAGTCAGTAAGTGGAATAGTTTGGGAAGCGATGTAGTGGAGGCAGGATCCATACATAGCTTTAAGCAGAGGTATGATAAAGCTCACGGTTCAGGGAGAGTGACCTAGTAGCGATCAGTGAAGAGGCGGGGCCAGGAGCTCGGACTCGACCCCCGCAACCTCAACTAGGTGAGTACACACACACACACACACACACACACACACAGGGGTCAGTCCTGGGACCAGTGCTGTTCTTGGTATATGTGAACGATATGACGGAAGGGATAGACTCAGATGTGTCCTTGTTTGCAGATGACGTGAAGTTAATGAGGAGAATTAAATCAGGCGCGGACCAGACAGGTCTACAAAGAGACCTGGACTGGCTGGATGTGTGGTCCAGAAACTGGCTCCTAGAATTTAACCCCGCCAAATGCAAAGTCATGAAGATCGGAGGAGGGCAAAGAAGACTGCAGACAGAGTATAGGCTAGGTGGCCAAAGGCTGCAAACCTCACTCAAGGAGAAAGACCTAGGAGTGAGTATAATACCGAGTACATCGCCAGAAGCACACATTAACCAGATAGCTGCTGCGGCATATGGGCGCTTGGCAAACCTCAGAATAGCGTTCCGGTACCTCAGTAAGGGATCGTTCAAGACTTTATACACTGTGTACGTCAGGCCCATACTGGAGTACACAACACCAGTTTGGAACCCACACCTGGTCAAACACGTCAAGAAATTAGAGAAAGTGCAAAGGTTTGCAACAAGGCTAGATCCAGAGCTAAGGGGAATGTCCTATGAAGAAAGGTTAAGGGAAATCGGTCTGACAACACTGGAGGACAGGAGGGTCAGGGGAGACATGACAATGACATACAAAATACTGTGTGGAATAGACAAGGTGGACAGAGACAGGATGTTCCAGAGATGGGACACAGAAACAAGGGGTCACAATTGGAAGCTGAAGACTCAGATGAGTCAAAGGGATGTTAGGAAGTATTTCTTCAGTCATAGAGTAGTTAGGAAGTGGAATAGTCTGGCAAGCGATGTAGTGGAGGCAGGAACTATACATAGTTTTAAGACGAGGTATGATAAAGCTCATGGAGCAGGGGGAGAGAGGACCTAGTAGCGGTCGGTGAAGAGGCGGGGCCAGGATCTGAGTCTCGACCCCTGCAACCACAATTAGGTGAGTACACACACACACACACACACACACACACACACACACACACACACACACACACACACACACACACACACACACACACACACACACACACACACAACACACACAACACACACAACACACACAACACACAACAACACACACACACACACACAACACACACAACACACACACACACACACAACACACACACACACACACACACACAACACACACACAACACACACACACACAACACCACACACAACAACACACACACACACAACACACACAACACACAACACACACACACACACACACACACACACACACACACACACACACACAACACACACACACACACCACACACACACACACACACACACAACACACACACAACACAACACACACACAACACAACACACAACACACACACAACACACACACACACAACACAACACACACACACACAACACAACACACACAACACAACACACACACACACACACAACACACAACACACAAACCACAACACACACAACACACACACAACACAACACACACACACAACACACACCACACACACACACACACACACACACAACACACACACAAACACACACACAACACACAAACACACACACACACACAACACACACACAACACACACACACACACACACACACACACACACACACACACACACACACAACACACAACACACAACACACACACACACACAACTACACACACACACACAACACACAACACCACAACAACACACACACACACACACACACACACACACACACACACACACACACACACACACACACACACACACACACAACACACAACACACAACACACAACACACACAACAACTAACACACACACGAATTGACAGGGTGGACAGAGATAAGATGTTCCAGAGATGGGACACAGTGAGAAGGGGTCACAGTTGGAAGTTGAACCTCGGATGAATCGCAGAGATGTTAGGAAGTATTTCTTCAGTTACAAGAGTTGTTAGTAAGTGGAATAGTCTGGAAAGTGAGGTGGTGGAGGAAGGATCCATTCATAGCTTTAAGAAGTGGCATGATAAAATTCACGGAGCAAGGAGTGACCTAGTAGCAACCAGTGAAGAGGTGGGGCCAGGAGCTATGACTTGGCCCCTGCAACCACAATTATGTGAGTACACACACACACAGCAAGGGAACCCAGGAAGTACATAAAGAGCTCAGCACTATGATGCCAAATAGTGTTTTTCATTCAAGTACCACAAAGAACAGAAATATAAAAGGCTAAAAAGTTGCTGAAAATTCACTAAATATGCACAGGCATCTTACTGATGACATTATCATGTTAGATGATATAATTGCAATATTATTATTCCCAGGTCATTCACATTAGTTTTTTTGCTCTATTGTGTGGTTGAAATCCTACAGGTTTAGTGCTTCCTCCCTAATTATAATAACATTGTGTGGTTGGAATTTGTTTTATACTCCAAAATAGTTTTAATTTGCTCAAGTTTTCCATATCGCAGTAATTGAAATTTCTCTTCATTGAACTTCATATTGTTTTCTGTGGCCCATTTAAAGAATTGGTTGACGTCCACTTGGAGTCTTGTAGTGTCCTCGATGGAGGACACTGTCATGCAGACTCAGGTGTTGTCCACAAAGGAAGACATGGCGCTGTAGCTTACATTTTTTTTTTTTTTTTTTTTTTTTTTTGTGTGTGTCATCCAACTGACCATATCCCACCGAGGCAGGGTGACCTAAAAAGAAAAACAAAGGTTTCTCTCTTTAAATTTAGTAATATATACAGGAGAAGGGGTTACCAGCCCTGGCATTTTAGTCACTTTTTGCAACATGCATGACTTATGGAGAAAGAATTCTGTTCCACTTAGCCATGGAGATGAAAGGAAATAAACAAGAACAAGTACTAGTAAGAAAAATAGAATAAAACCCAAAGGGGTGTGTATATATATGGTTGTACATGTATGTGTAGTGTGACCTAAGTGTAATTAGAAGTAGCAAGATGTACCTGAAACCTTGCATGTTCATGAGATGGAAAAAAGACACCAGCAATCCTACCATCATGTAAAACAATTACAGGTTTTCATTTCATTAACTTTGTAGGACAGTAGTACCTCCCTGGATGGTTGCTGTCTACCAACCTGCTATCTAGGACATCTCTGTCTGTCAGATATAAGGATGAGGGAGAGTACTGTGCCTTGTGGAACAGAGCTTTTCACTGTAACCACCTCAGACTTTACTCTGTTTACAATTACTTTGTTCTACTTGTTAGGAAGCTCTAGATCCATCTACCAACTTTTCCCGTAATTCCTTTATCACACATTTTGCGTGCTGTTACACCATGGTCGCACTTGTTGAAGGCTTTCGCAAAGTGTGTGTATATTACATCTGCATTTTGTTTGTCCTCTAGAGCATCCATGGCCTTGTCACAGTGATCCAGTAGTTGGGACAGCCAGGAGTGTCCTGCTCTTAACCCATGTTGCCCTGGGTTGTGTAACTGATGGTTATATAGATGGGTGGCAATCTTTCTTCTTAGAACCTTTTCAAAGATTTTTATGATGTGGGATGTTATTGCTGTCGGTATGTAATTCTTTGTTATTGCTTTACTGCCCCCTTTATGGAGTGGAGCTATGTCAGTTATTTTAAGTGGCTGTGGGATGACCTGTGTCCATGCTTCTGCAAGTCCCTATGCTCATCAAGTCCCTAAAGCCATTTGTCTCCACTCCTGTCTCACACACACATGCCTGCTGTATATCTAAGCCCCTCACACACACAACCTCCTTTACCGCCTCCCTCCATCCTTTCCTAGGACGAATCCCCTATCCTGCCTTCCCTCCACTAGGTTTATACACCTTCCAAGTCATCCTATTTGCTTCATCCTCTAAGTGACCAAACCACCTCAATAACCCCTTCTTGGCCCTCTGAATAATACTTTATCATTTTTTATTATCATGGAGAAGTACCTAAGGAGTGGAAAGTAATCAGGTTTGATCCAAAGGGGAGGATAGCACGAATTCATTTCATCCAAATTCATTCACCTGCAACAAGGCACCTTCTTTGAAGGGAGTTTTCGTGGGTGTCATTTCTTTAGATTTTTCTATTTGTATTTTTTGATTTGTGGAGTCATTTCCCTTCTTGAATGTTATTATCAACATAGAGAAGCACTAAACCCATAGGGATTATATATTCATGGGAGGCAGAATATTTTTTTTAATCTGGGGGGAATGCATTAAACCCATAGGGATCATGTAGCATCTGGGAGGCTTTCAAGTTCAGTTCACAGAAGAGGAGGGCAAGACTGGGACCCTTGAATCAAGGGTCCTCACTGGCTTCATGATACCTCCCTCGATAGGGAAAGAGGAAGCTAAGCCCATATAGGAGTTAATAAGATTCAGTCCATGGGAGATCTGGTTCAGTTCTTTGGATCAAGAACACCTCGGCAGCATCAAGGCAGCTCCTTGAGGGGCCAGGCATTTTAAACACCGTTCTTATAGTTATTGCTGCACCTCATACCATTGCTTTTGTCTTACCCAGTATTACTTCCTGTTTTCAGTCTCTAAAGTACCTGCGGAATTCAAGTGAAATGTTACCATATGTGATCTTTCTGGCAGCCCCTGGTATGGACCAGATCAAGAGTTTGTACAATATTGGCAGTTCAATGGGATCCTCCAGTCGTAACCTCACTGTGAGTATCTCTTGGCTGTACTGTGTCAGAATCTGATTGGTAAAATTTTGGGCTCTGAGGCAGACATAGTACATGTACAGTATTTACTATACATATAAAATTATTTAATTGTATTTTCTTAGTATTTATTATTTATGACATTTTATACCATTCACATCAGTGATAAAAAGCCATATCCTTGTCATCTTGCATGAACCTGTCAAAGTCTTGATGTTTCAGCTCATAAAATCATATTTTTCTTCTCAATGTATTTTCACTGGAGTTGATACTGATTGTGGCAGCAAATTATTACTGTAATTGGGAAGTAATTAACCCATAGGGGTCATGAAGCACATGGGATTTGTTCCAAGGGATCAAAAGCCCCTCACCAGCATCAAAGTATATCTCCTTTGAGACCTATGGCAGCATACAGTGATTTTGTTTTCATTAATAACTAGCTTTGACCAGTAATATTTTTTTAATCTGTTGTTTTGTATTTAGCTTGGTGTGAAAAAATACCTAGTATAATTTACCTTTATCAAAGTACCCCATTTTTCTTCATAATGTTATTTTTTGTCTTTTTTTGTTTAATTGCAGTTTATAGCATTTAACTTTTGCTGACATAAATTAGTTTGTATAATTATTTTGCCTTGTATTAGTATGGAAAAGCATCCTTTAACTTTGAAAAGTTTTTGCAATGTTATTTGTTAGTTTACACTAATATCTCCATTATTCAACAGCTGTTGCTGATATCTAAAGTAGAATTAATTTTGTCTCAATATTTAAATTCTGAAAATTATTCTCTTCTCATTAATCTGTATAGCTACAGTGCAACCCCAGTTTTTGTCCGGTCCAGTTATCGTACAATTCAGTTTCTGACCACTTTTTGGCGAAATTTTGTTTTTATACATCCGTACCAGACGCGTCCGCCTGCCCACAGGACGCAGCCGCTCATACATTCGTGACTCAGTCTGCCTTTGTTACTTGTTCAGTGAGTATTACTCCGCACGTTCATCCGAAACATTTCGTAATAATCTATTGTTTTTTGTGCTTGCGACTGCTAAATAAGCCACCATGGGGCCAAAGAAAGTTTTGAGTGCCAGCTCTTTGGTAAAGAAGGCGAGAAACACAATAAAATTCAAGAAAGAACTCAGAGAAAAATACAAAAGTGGCGTACGTGTGGCCGAGCTTGCCAGGATGTATGGGAAGTCCCAATCAAGAGAGCTCTGGAGGAATCATTTCAATATCCTCAATTGCATAAGCCTTATAGATAAGGTTTGGCAAGGAGTGACTTCCAGGACAATTAACTCTTCTTGGAAAAAATTGTGGCCAGAATGTGTTGAATCTATTGTGTCTTTGGGGAAGTCCAAGGGGTTGGAGGTGAGTGGTCAGGATGTGGAAGAGTTGGTGGATGACCACAGGGAAGAGCTAACCACTGAAGAGCTGCAAGACCTTCATCTGGAACAACAACGGACCTTAGCCGAGGAAATTGCTTCAGAGGAGGAAGAGAGAGGGAAGAATGTGCCTTCTTCAGCGATTAAGGACATTTGTGCAAAGTGGAGTGAGGTGCAAAGTTTTGTGGAGAAATATCACCCTAACAAAGCTGTTGCAAGCCGTGTCAGCGGCATGTTCAATGACAGTGCCGTGCCTCATTTTAGGCAAATCTTAAAGAAACACCAGAAACAGGCCTCTCTGGACAGATTTTTTGTGCGACAGGGGTCCAGTGACTCTCAAGCTGGTCCTAGTGCCAGTAAAAGACAAAGAAGGGAAGTAACCCCAGACAGGGCTTTGATAGAAGTTCTTATGGAGGGGGATTCCCCTTCGAAACAATAACCTCTCTTCCCTCTCCTCCTCGCCGTCTTCCATACGCCAACATGTCTTTTCAATAAAGGTAAAAAGTGATGTTAAATGTTCATTTAACCATTTCATTAGTCATTTATATTTATTTCCCATTGTTTTCTGAATGTAAAACTATAATTATTCTCTATAAAATGTGTTTTTTAATATTTTTTGGGTGCCTGGAATGGATTAATTCTTCTTCTTTCAACAAACTGGCTATGTTCCACCAAAGCAGGGTGGCCCAAAAAGAAAAACAAAAATTTCTCTTTTCAGCTTTAGTAATGTATACAGGATAATGGGTTACTAGCCCCTTGCTTCCGGCATTTTAGTCTCCTCTTACGACACGCATGGCTAATGAAGGAAGAAGTCTGTTCACTTTTCCATGGAGAACGGATTAATTGGATTTACATATTTTCTTAGGGGAAATATTACTTCAGTTTTCATACGAATCTATTTTCGGCCGACCTTCTGGAACAGATTAAAGACAAAAACCGGGGTTCCACTGTATATTTCTTGACACCATTTCCTTCAAGGACTCTCATTCAAGTTACTGCACTTGGAAAGTGGAGATACTGTTATCAGCCGAATATCCGAATATCCATGTGGCATTTTTATACTGCATCTTCCCAAATTTTATTAGAAATTACTACCGATTGTAAACTTGTCCAACCATACCTGATCCTTTATCACTTGCCTGTCAATGTGCCTGTTGCTTGCCGCCCCTCCAAATCCAGTTTGATCGCAACAGCTCCATGAGATACAGCTCCCGACGTGCCAGGACATTAGAGTCTTTGGCTTCCCTCTATGAGGTAAAGTATCTTTATTGAACAATGTATTTTCTACATCTTGTTTTGTCAGCCTATATTGAAATAGTATTTATTTATTAGTAGTATTAAAATTAAAAAAAAAATTGAAATATGATTAGTATTGTTAGTTTTATCGCTATTATAATAAAAAATGAAGCACTAAACCTACAAGGGTCATACAGCACAGCAGTTTTATCACTAATTTCTATTTCTTGGTTGGTTAATGAGGTTTCAAGCCTATCAACACTAGAGTCATTAAGGCTGCGTGGTAACCTGTTCACCCCAACATGAATACTATAGTCCCCAAAGTAGAGATTAAGGTAAACTTTCAGCACATATACACTGCGACAGATATAGTGTATGGCCATTTCACGACTTATGTGCATGCTGAACAAGAAATTCAGCATTTTCTCTTGGGTTATTTATTAACCTTGAGCTAATGAGTAGATGTTAGCTCATAATTGGTGATTAGAAGCAGCATGCAGTGTTGTTCAGTGTTTTGATTGTTATATTGGATTTCCTCACTCTCATGAAGAGCTTCAGTGATGTGAATTATAATATTCATGGGAATGTGCAAAATCCATAAGGGACATACAGTGCTTTGAGAATAGGATGTAATCAGGATTGATTCAAGGGAGAGATGTGTAAACTTCTGGGGGTCATATGTGTCAAGAGGGTGTGTAAAGAAAGTTGAGAGTGAACATAGATAAGAGTATGGTGATGAGAGTATCAAACAAGATAAAGAAAAATTGGTGGAAATAAATGTGTTCAGATATTTGGGAGTAGATTTGTCAGCAAATGGGTTTATAAAGGACGAAGGGAAAAAGGTAAGTGGTTCATTGAGGTACAGGTATCATCCGACTTACGACCAAGCTTGGTTCCGACCATCACATTTTTGTAATGATTTTATTTTAATGTTTTATTTTGGTATTTCATTTTTTACTTTACTTTTTATGCTGTTAGCACTGTATTTTATATTGTAAGGTTTAGGATAAGCACTCTGTACAACGCAAACAGTTGTTTATTTCCCAGAAATTTGGCACACAAAACATGGTCATAAGTTGAGTGGTCGTATGTCAAGCAGGTCATAAGTTGGATGGTAGGTGTATCTGTGGAGACAAAAAAAAAAAATTATCCATGGAGGCAAAGAAGGGAATGTACGAGAGTATAAGGGTACCAATAGTACTTATATGGGTATAAAGCATGGATTGTGAATGCTGCAGCGAGAAACAGGCTGGAGGCAGTGGAGATGTCGTGTCTAAGGGCAATGTATGGTGTAAATACAGTGGACCCCCGCCTTACGATCAGCTTCCAATGCAACCAATTATGTAAGTGTATTTATGTAAGTGCTTTTGTACGCATATTCTTGGGGGTCTGAAATGGACTAATGCCGGTAACGGCATCTGAACATACTTCTGGAATGAAATTATATCGTAAGGCGAGGGTCCACTGTATTATGATGAGAATTCATAGTGTGGAAATTAGGAGGTGTGGAGTTACTAAATATATTATTCAGAGGGCTCAAGAGGGGTTATTGAGGTGGTTTGGTCTTTACAGGATGGAGCAAAATAGGTTGACTTGGAGGGTGAATAAATCTGTAGTGGAAGGGAGGAGGGGTAGGGGTCATTCTAGGAAGGGATGGAGGGAGGGGGTAAAAGAGGTTTTGTGTGCAGGGGGCCTGGACATGCAGCAGGCATGTGTGAGCATGTTAGATAGGAGTGAATGGAGACGAATGGTTTTTTTGGGGGGACCTGACGAGCTGTTGGAGTGTGAGCAGGGTAATATTTTGTGAAAGGATTCAAGGAACCCAGTTAGCCAGATTTGAGTTCTGGAAGTGGAAATTACAATGCCTGCACTTTAAAGGAGGGGTTTGGGACATTGGTTGTTTTGAATGACGCCTAAACTGTTATATCTAGGCACCTCTGCAAAGACATTGATTGTGTGAATGATGGTGTTTTTTTTGGGATCACCCTGCCTCAGTGGGAAACTGCTGGCGTGTTGAAAAAAAACAAAACGTGTTATACAGTGCACTAGTGGTGGTAGCACTAAGGTAGTAGGTATTTTTTGTCACATTTACAAAGCTTTACACAAATTCATGTATTACATGAATATAGCTTGCATGCTGCAACAGAATGAAATCACAGGGAAACAGGGCCTTGAATCATACTAAATTGATATAATTTTACTCTTTCAAGTTCATATTCTCAATAAGCATAAAAAGAAGTACCCCTGGAGCAATTTTAAAAAATCTTCCCTAAATAACTTTGCTGTTTTAATCCGACATCCCATTAAATGTACATGTTGAGCCTTTGTCCAGCTATATTTTTGTCCATTTTATGATATCCACTTTATGGGGCTTCATTTTTTCATGTTTACTGTGTATATCTTGAGTGGAAGAGAGGAGGGGTAAGTATTGTCCCAGAAAGGGTTAGAGAGAGGTTAAGGAGGCATTGAGTGCTAGGGAGCTTTAACTCAAGCAGACTTGTGAGAGCATGTTAGGAGTGAAGGCAGATGATTTGAGGTGCTGTTGGAATGAGAGCAAGATAAAATTTATGGAGAATTCAGGAAAACTGGTTAGTCAAACTTAAGTCCTTGTGGTGGGAAGTAGTGTGTGCACTTTGAAAGAGGGGTGAGGATGTTGCAGTTTGGAGGGTTATCTGAACTTATGTCAGTATGCTTCTTGGCAAAACAGTAAATGAGTTCTTTTCTTTCTTTCTTTCTTTCTTCCTTTTTTTTTTTTTTTTTTTTTTTGGGGGGGGGGGGTTTGTCTCTACCTTGGAGATGGCCAGTAAGCTATTTTTTTTTTTTACACATCCACACATTTACTATTTTTTATTTGACTTGAATGTGACTGAAAACATTTGTTAATTTACTGAAGGGAAAGGTTTCCTTAAAACTGAGAATTGCAAATTTTTTTTTTTTTTTTCACCTTACTGGCCATCTTCCATCAAGGTATTATTATTATAATCAAAAAGAAGCACTAAACCCACTAGGGTCATACAGCGCTGCAGGGCAGAGGTTGTGGCTGGAGCAGAAAACAGCCAGGGGTGGAGAGGATAAGAGAGATAGAGTTAGAAAGGGCTGTGAGTGCTAATGGAAGTATTATCAAAGTTTGTGTAATAAACCAGTTGCTGTCAAAGAGGAGGTCTGTGTCAGAGGTGGAGTTGTCAGTAAGGAGAGAAGATGAATTAAGGGTGTTAGAGTGGTGACGATATCAGGAAAATTCTGCATGCTTGTTAAAAGACAGGACAGTTCAATAGAATATGGCAAACTGAAATTGGAACCAGACAGTTCTCACAGAGTGGAACAGGCCACCTCTCCATGAGATACCCATAAGTAAGATGGGTGTGCCCGATGCAAAGAGGAGAGAGCGTAGTCTCCCAACCTCGGCATCAGTGACAAGAAGGCCAGAAACACAAACTTGGTTTGATAAAATGTAATTTGTTATATTATATTATTATTATAGTAATTTGTTATAAGTCGTATCAAACCAACATTGTTGCCAACAGTTGCGAAGGTGGTTAGAGATTACAGCAAAATAATCTGAGAATGGAATACCTCTTTATGAAACTGGGAGGTCATGTACTGCTGATCATGCAGCAGTCTGCCTACTCATTGCCCTGAACATCATGACAAGGGATCTAAAACATGATTTTTTTTGTTTTTGCTAGAAATGAGGTGCAACCAAAGTTGTATACGAAGAACTAGGGGGTGAGGTGAATCAAATTTTTTAACAGCTTGCAAAGCACTAGTCTGAGACTACTACAACATTGAGGTGGGCATAGATGAAATACGGATAATTGCAGTGAGAATTGTATGCATTTCAGCTGTAAAAATGCTAGCCGAGTCTAATACACGACTTTGCACTATGCTGTCCGGAACACACTTCCACCAAGGCAGGGTGACTCAAAAAAAGGGAACACAAACCAGCGTTTATTCAATTGCTGTCTTGCCAAAAGTGTACTAAAATCACAATTCAGATTGTCTTCCAGTTGTTACATCCCCACCCCTCATTTAGAGTGCAGGCATTGCCTTTTCCACTGTCAAGATGCAAGTCCAGCTAACTGGTTTCCCCAAGTCCCTTCATAAATATTAATGTGCTCACAATCCAACAACACACACATTAAAAACCACTTGTCTATTCACTCCTGTCTAACACACAAACTTGCTGGATGCTCAAGCCCATAAAACTCAAAGCCTCTTTTACCCTCTCCTACCTTCCACCTCAGATTTGTACACTCTTCACCATCCTATCCCTCTCCATCCTCTCTAAAAGCCCAAACCACTTCAGCAATCCCTTCAATCTGTTATTCAATGTATCACTGCCTAGACATTTTTATTTACTCTCAACACTTTGCTCTTATTTAATCTGTATTCACTTTTAATTTCCTTCTTCAGCATATCCTCCCAAATTCTTCAAACTCAGTATTCCCCCCCCCCCCCCCCCCCCCCCAAAAAAAAAAAAAAAGGTAACTCCCTTCACTTTCTATTCAGTTCTAAATTTGATGCTAGAAATAATAATTAAATTGTGTATGTAATAAATATGTTCTCACACCCACATTTTTCACAAAGAACACTGCAGTCTGTACCTTGTTCCTATGTTGCCTTTGCATTCATGTACTTTGCTTAAGTTATCTGAATTGCTTAAATTTGGAATGCTCAGAATTTGATGCACTGCAATATGCACACTAATAAAGTTTTCTCTAAATCAGTCAGTTTTTTTCTTTTCTTCACAGGAAGATGATTTCAAGCGCACAATGGAGGAAAGTGCGAAACTACAACGAGCTTATGATAAATATTTTGACTTGATCATTGTTAATAATGATCTTAACGAAACTTTTCAAGAAATTATGGATGCCATTGACCGCCTGGAAACTGAGCCTCAGTGGGTTCCTGTGACATGGGTTTACTAATGCAGTTGTTGAAGAGAGTTCACTTAAAGGGAATGTGTATATTTGATATACAGGTACCTTACTGTACATTATTGTCTGAAGTTATTGTTATTGTTAAACCTTTTAATACACACACAATGGCAGCAGCACCCAGGGGGTGCTTGGGGAAGATTCAGCAACCCTCCCCCCCCAAATAACAATAGTAATAATAAAGCTGTTTCAAAACAGGTTTAACTCCATTTCCAACCAGTGAGCCACCCATAAGCCCCCTTGGTATACAAATTTAGTGCTGCTCCTGCACATACACGTACTGTATAGCTCTTCCAGTAAACAGTCAACAGTTTCAAAATTTAGTTATTAATTATTTCCTGTGGATTTGAAAATCCAGTTAGTTTTTATCTGAAAAAGAATTAAGGTAACATTTTAGATTTGAAATGGTGTAATATGTATTGATCAATCAGTAAAGTGCAATACTGTTTGGAAGATAATACCTATAGGACATCGAAAGCTTTTTCATTTCTGTAAGTTGTCATGTCTTCCATGAAAATCAAAGTTACAAAACAAAAATAACATAATTCAAAAATTAATAATATAATTAGTTGTTGAAAAACTAAAACTACCTAACTTAATTTCGTGTTAAACGGTCAGTTGTTAAAGAAATTGAGCCAAGTTATATCCGTACATACTGTGCTCTTTTATCACTCATTACTTTAAAAGTTGCATTACTTGCTGTATTATAGAAGCTTATGTAATTTTCACATAATATTTTCTCTTGAAATCATTCCTTAGCATAGGTCTTTAATAAATTTGGAATTATTATAAGATTTGTTAATATGGTTGAAAAGTTATTCATATTGGTGCTATACTAACAATTTTGAATTTAAAAAAAAAAAAATCAAGTCTTACAGTTTTATATGTTACACTATTGAGTTCTCTTGAAGATAGCTCTTCCCCCAACTCTTCAACAATATGATCTAGTAAAGAATTACCCTAGATCATCACCATATAAAGAATTAAAGGTTTCTTAACAAAAAATGCTATACACCAAAGCTTCCAGTGTGTATGCCATTTCCTGCTCTTTTTTTTCTCTCCAATACATTGGTGAAAATGACTAATCCCCTTTCTTGAAGAACACAAGTGTGTTTGCCTTGGTGGCACTAACTTTTTTTCTTTTTTTTTTTAAGGTTTGAGTAGAGATCTGTTCCTCTTCCAGTCTTTACAGATGCACTCTTATTGAACCATCTCTTATATACAACAGTCCTAGCTGTGTTTCTGCTGGTGCTTGCCACAAACTGCAAAACCCATGTTCTGTTTTCTAGGGGGAGAAGGGGAATGCCTTGATGTTGAAGGGCTCTTGATTCAAAAATTTGAGTTATCTTCCCTTTCTTAGATTGAATCAGATTGCAATCCATTCGCAGCCACTATTCTACCTCTACAAATTCAGCATTTTCCTGTGAATGTTACAATAATAATTCAGAACTCATGACTGACTTGATCTTGACTATCTCATCACCTGACTAGCCTCATAGTATTCTCTTCACTTGACTGTCTTCTGGGCTTTCCTTCTCTCAATTGTGACGTGGTCAAAAACAGACCAAAACGTCTTTTTAGCCTAAAGTTTCTTCTCTCAAGTGTTGGTTAGTTGTAAATGTTTTATTTCAGATTAAAAACAGGTTTAATTTAAAACTAAAGGTAAATTCGCCACACTAAATATTCTTGCCTTGAATTTAAAGTATTTGTGCACAAAATACACACTAAGCTAAATTGAATAGTTCAAAATCGAGATTTGTATTATACTGTATGAAAAAAGTTATATTTATTTTAATCAAGGAAGTGATAAGCTGTAGGTGTTATAAATAATTATTATTATTATTATTATATTATTATAAAGAAGAAGTACTAAATTAGGTGTTATATAGGGTAAGGGAGGTATTTATGGTTGATCCAAGAGGACAATAAGTCCAGCTCCTTGGATCAAGAGTCTTTTTACAGCTTCAAGGTACAGTGGACCCCCGGATAACGATATTATTTCAATCCAGAAGTCTGTTTGGGTGCCGTTATAGACCGAATTTGTTCCCATAAGAGATATTGTGAATTAGATTAGTTCGTTTCAGACCCCCAAAAATACACCTACAAAAGCACTTACAAAAATACACTTACATAATTGGTCGAGTTGGGAGCTGATCGTTATGCGGGGGTCCACTGTATATTCCTTGAGTGGAATTAAAAAAAAAAAGCATAGCACCTGTGATTATATTCAAACTGGCTTAAAAAGATTTGGTGCACTTTTGTTATGTAATAATAGTATTTAATCAGTATATTAGGCTCTTAACTTTTTTGCAGTTATTATTGCATTTTTATGAAGAAAATTCTCATTCCCTAAATAACCAAAATGAATGTTATACTGCAAAGTAGTATAGCAAAGCTCAAACATTTAATGAACAAATGGAAAGAATTTTTACACTTGAATAATATGCTGGATTTTTCTTACTTCAGTAAACTCCAAACTCAAGCATATCCACAGGTATATCTAAAGGTATTTATTATCTTGTGGTGTCTTGACATGAGAATGAAGCTTTCATGAAGTTAATGCTTTACCACATTTTTCTGACCAGACAATACTGGTGCCTTTATATATTAGTAAGACAAAATACTGTGGCTGTTAAGAAGTCAAATGTAAGCCAAATAAAATTAGCCATAACTTATCATGTGCAACAATAATTAATTTGTTGTTTCATTATAAGAGATAAATTAGTCAAAATTTTACAGATACACTACTATATATTTTAATTATATTTCAATACTGTTTCTTAATCTGAATTCAAGATAGAACATATGCAATGTTATGGTCAGAAAGCAAAATATTTAAGCAAATATGTTCATTACTGCTGTATAATAAACTATTGTACTGATTATTTTAATTGGGCAGGTATTAAACCTGTGAGAAGTCATATTGCACCTGGGAAATGGAAGGCATTCAGATTCAGTCCAAGGAAGGGGAGGATAGGTCCAGTTCTTTAAGATCAAGAGTCCCCTCACTAGCATCAAGGCACGTTAACAAATGTAATGACTGAAAAAATATGTAATAAGCTCAACTGTTTAAAACAAGTTAAAGATGACACATAAATAATAAATTTGTGTTCATAGTCAATCATTGCCATTACCAAGTATTTTATTTACTTTATATCTGTGACTAATGTGCTCAACTAGGGATCAAATTCTTTATTTACGAGTAAAGTGTGAATGAATTCCATGTCACATTAGTCCTTGATTAACCATAATTATCTGCTCAGTTATGTTTGTGAAATATCTAAGAAACATTACAATTTTGTTAGAAATATGTTCAACCTTTTTTTTTTTTTAACAAGTCGGCCGTCTCCCACCGAGGCAGGGTGACCCAAAAAGAAAGAAAATCCCCAAAAAGAAAATACTTTCATCATCATTCAACTCTTTCACCTCACTCACACATAATTACTGTTTTTGCAGAGGTGCTCAGAACACAACAGCTTAGAAGCATATACGTATAAAGATACACAACATATCCCTCCATACTGTCAATATCCCGAACCCCTCCTTTAGAGTGCAGGCATTTGCGTACATCCCATTTCCAGGACTCAAGTCCGGCTATATAAAAATAACCGGTTTCCCTGAATCCCTTCACTAAATATTACCCTGCTCACACTCCAACAGATCGTCAGGTCCCAAATACCATTCGTCTCCATTCACTCCTATCGAACATGCTCATGCACGCCTGCTGGAAGTCCAAGCCCCTCGCCCACAAAACCTCCCTTACCCCTTCCTTCCAACCTTTTCGAGGACGACCCCTACCCCGCCTTCCTTCCCCTACAGATTTAAATGCTCTCCATGTCATTCTACTTTGATCCATTCTCTCTAAATGACCAAACCACCTCAACAACACCTTGTCAGCCCTCTGACTAATACTTTTATTAACTCCACACCTTCTCCTAATTTCCACACTCTGAATTTTCTGCATAATATTTACACCATACATTGCCCTTAGACAGGACATCTCTACTGCCTCCAACCGCCTCCTCGCTGCTGTATTCACAACCCAAGCTTCACACCCATATAAGAGTGTTGGTACTACTATACTTTCATACTACTCCTATACTTTTCATACTCCTCCCCAATTTGATATCTAAATTTTCTTTATCTAAATCATTTGATACCTTCATCACCTTACTCTTTTCTATGTTCACTTTCAACTTTCTACCTTTACACACACTCCCAAACTCGTCCACTAACCTTTGCAATTTTTCTTTAGAATCTCCCATAAGTACATCCCTGTCTAAGACCTGCTTTTACCGGGAAGAAGTTTCAACCTTCTTGCCTCACTTAATTAATGGCTAGGTGGACTGTGGCCTTACTGACCCCTTCAAATACACCACACACCAATATTTTTGAACTCAGCTTAACTATTTGAGTCTCCTACCTCCTCTTCAAATCTTTAAAAAAAATCTAAGACCAGGCAGGTACATACAGTGCATCTTGGGGGTTACACTACCTAATTAGTATAAGTAAATAACGAAACTAGTACCTATTGAGTAACCACCAGCTTCCTTAACCCTTTCATTGTCACCCATTTACATCATTGACACCAGTGTAGATCTGTATTTAGAGCACAGCAACCTCAAATATGCTATGAGCAGTATTTTGGCCTAGATAGATTTAAGAGACTGGGTATCTGGAAACCTGCCCCATCCAGTGCATGATTGGAAAAGCAAGCCTTTTGTGTTGGGTTTACAAGAGCAACTTTGAGGTGTTTTCTATGGTTATATTGTTGTTTCTCTGTATGACCCTTGTGGTTTTAGTGTTTAGTTTTGATTGTAATAATTGCTATTTCTTAGTAACAGTTGATAGAACGGAAGACATACTAGTGAAATAGAGATGATTTTGGTTGGTTTCAGACCAGTAATAGTTTGAAATAGGACTCAAGGTGGCAGAAATATTAGATTTTTTGGTGATTTTCCTAAGAATGGGTAGGGCTTCCAGTACAGTAGACACCCGGTTTTCGTAATTGATCCGTTCCAGAAAGTTGACTGAAATCCGAAATGGCTGAAAACCGAAGTAATATTTCCCATAAGAAATAATGTAAATCCAATTAATCCGTTTCAGACACCCAAAAGTATTAACAAAAAATACATTTTAGAGAGAATAACTATAGTTTTACGTACAGAAAACAATGAGTAATAAATATAAATGACTAATTTTAATGATAAATGAAATTACATACTTTTATTGAAGACTCTTAGTATATATTTGTAATCCCAAGCAGACTACATCCCAGTGTATACCTACCGGCTACATACACTGCGACCTACAGCCATATTATTGCCATCAACATACCATGTTCACTGAGTTTAATCGTTTCTAACAATTATCCTTCGATACCATCATAAACAAAGGGAGACATAATGAATAATTCATGCTGAGAATGCAAAAAAAAGCTTATGTATTAAGGGCAGTTAGTGGGAGAAAAAAAACAGATTCATACAGTTTTCTCTAATGCTGGACCAGAGAAAACGTAATGTTTACAGTCCACCGCACATAAACATTGCATGTTTATATGCTGTGTAACGTGTTTCTTACATAATTTAAGAAAATACCATAGATGGATACAAGGAAAATAGCAGCAGCAAGTAAGAGAGAGGTGAAGGTTTATAAACTAAAAGAGGAGGCAGTTAGGGTAAGATATAAACAACTATTGGAGGATAGATGGGCTAGTGAGAGTATAGACAATGAGGTTAAAGATGTATGGGGTAGCTTTAAAATGTAGTGTTAGAGTATTCAGTAGAAGTTTGTGGTTATAGGAAAGTGGGTGCAGGAGGGAAGAAGAGCGATTGGTGGAAAGATGATGTAAAGAGAGTAGTAAGGGAGAAAAAGTTAGCATATGAGAGGTTTTTACAAAGTAGAAGTGATGCAAGGAGGGAAGAGTATATGGAGAGAAAAAGAGAGGTTAAGAGAGGGGTGCAGCAATTTAAAGAGAGAGCAAATGAGAGAGTGGGTGAGATGTTAACATATTTTGTTGAAAATAAGAAAAAGTTTTGGAGTGAGATTAATAAGTTGAGGAAGCCTAGGGTACAAATGGATGAGACAGTTAAAAATAGAAGAGGAGAATTATTAAATGGAGAGTCAGGTATCGGGAAGATGGAGGGAATATTTTGAGGAATTGTTAAATGTTGATGATTTCATGTATAGGGCAAGGAGGAATAACATCTTGTAGGAGTGAGGAAGAGCCAGTTGTGTGTGTGTGGGAAGTTCATGAGGCAGTGGGTACAATGAAAGGGGGTAAGGCATGGGATAAAGATGGAAATGTTAAAAGCAGGTGGGGATATAGTTTTGGAGTGGTTGATGGTATTCTTTAATAAATATATGGAAGAGGGTAAGGTACCTAGGGATTGGCAGAGAGCATGCATAGTTCCTTTGTATAAAGTCCAAGGGGATAAAAGAGTGAAAAAAAATAATAGGGGAATAAGTCTGTTGAGTATACCTGGTAAAGTGTATGGTCGAGTTATTATTGAAAGAATTAAGAGTAAGACGGAGAGTAGGATAGCAGATGAACAAGGAGGCTTTAGGAAAGGTAGGGGGTGTGTAGACCAAGTGTTTACAGTGAAACATATAGGTGAACAGTATTTAGATAAGGGTAAAGAGGTTTTTGTGGCATTTATGGATTTGGAAAAAGCATATGACAGGGTGGATAGGGGGGCAATGTGGCAGGTGTATGGTATAGGAGGTAGGTCACTGAAAGCATTGAAGAGTTTTTATAAGGATAGTGAGGCTCAGGTTAGAGTATGTAAGAGAGGGAGATTATTTTCCAGTAAAAGTAGGCCTTAGACAAGGATATGTGATGTCACCGTGGGTGTTCAATAAATTTATAGATGGGGTTGTAAGAGAAGTGAATGCTCAGGTGTTGACAAGAGGTGTGGAGTTAAAAGATAAAGAATCACACACAAAGTGGGAGTTGTCACAGCTGCTCTTTGCTGATGACACTGTGCTTTTGGGAGATTCTGAAGAGAAGTTGCAGAGGATGGTAGATGAATTTGGTAGGGTATGTAAAAGAAGAAAATTAAAAGTGAATATAGGAAAGAGTAAGGTGATGAGGATAACAAAAAGATTAGGTGATGAAAGACTGGATATCAGATTGGAGGGAGAGAGTATGGGGGAGGTGAATGTATTCAGATATTTAGGAGTGAACGTGTCAGCAGATGGGTCTGTGAAGGATGAGGTGAATCAGAATTGATGAGGGGAAAAGGGTGAGTGGTGCACTTAGGAGTCTGTGGAGACAAAGAACTTTGTCCATGAAAGCAAAGAGGGGAATGTATGAGAGTGTAGTTGTACCAACACTTTTGTATGGGTGTGAAGCATGGATGATTAATGTTACAACGAGGAGGAGGCTGGAGGCAGTGGAGATGTCATGTTTGAGGGCAATGTGTGGTGTGAATATAATGCAGAGAATTCATAGTTTGGAAATTAGGAGAAGGTGTGGGATTACCAAAACTATTATCCAGAGGGCTGAGGAGGGGTTGTTGAGGTGGTTCAGACATGTAAAGAGAATGGAACAAAACATAATGACTTCGAGTCTGTATAAATCTGTAGTGCAAGGAAGGTGGGGTAGGGGGTCAGCCTAGGAAAGGTTGGAGGGAGGGGGAAAAGGAGGTTTTGTGTGCGAGGGGCTTGAACTTCCAGCAAGCATGCGTGAGCGTATTTGATAGGAGTAAATGGAGACAAATGATTTTTAATACTTGACATGCTGTTGGAGTGTGAGCAAAGTAACATTTACAAAGGGTTCAGGGAAACCAGCAGGCCAGACTAGAGTCCTTGAGATGGGAAGTACAGTGTCTGCTCTCTGAAGGAGGGGTGTTAATGTTGCACGTTTATAACTGTAGTGTAAAGCACCCCTCTGGCAAGACAGTGATGGAGTGAATGATGAAAGTTTTTCTTTTTTGGGCCATCCTGCCTTGGTGGGAATTGGGCAATGTGTTAAAAAAAAAATCATAGATGGATTAATGAAAATGTCTATATTTACCTAAAATAAGATATTTAATGTGCCCAGGCGCACACATCTGGTACCAATGATTTCTGAGAGGATGTATGAAACCCTTTGGGAAATTCCTCCAAAAAAAAGTGCTCGAAATCCGAATTATACGATTTCCGCACCGGCCGAAAACCGGGGGTCCACTGCATTCTGTTATATGGTATTTTACTAGTTCTGCTTTCACTATTGGGACAGCCTCAGTTATGATCAGTCATTCATGGTTATATTTTATTAATCCAAAAAACAAAGAGGGTAAAACTTATAATTTTTTGTAATGGATTCAAAATAGAGGGCAAGTTCTGTATAGGAGAGGCCTGGGGATATGATTAGTCAACAGAGGAAAGACTGGTTTAGTGGTTGAAATGCTTTGTGTTTATTTTGGACTTTTTAAATTAGAACTTTTTTAATTTTGGGTAGTTCTGGTAAATGAATGGGCAGTTTCTTGTGCTCGGTCAATAGAATCGAAATAGCTAGGAATTGAGCATTGGAGTGGGGTTACAAAAGTATTCAAAGTGGGTGAAATTGTCAATGAATAAATTGCACTCGGACCACATGTGTAATTCCATAGGTTTTCCATCAAATTTCACTTTTTTTTATGTCATTATCTCCAGAAAAGGATTCTCTTTTTTTTTTTTTTTTCAGATTTATTTTTTGTTTTGAAAAATTGTGACAATTTCAGAGGTCGGTTAACAGCCAATGGTGTAGAGCTGGCATGAAGATGCCATTTTGTTTCAGATTTATTAAAATTTCCTGATACTAACAGTGGAATTCAGCCAAAAAGCACACACTGTAGATTGAGCCTAGGATAATCCAATATAGTGAACCAGTGTGATTTACTTCTATGTTTCAGTGAGTACTGCACCTTGAAACAATTGTAATATAATGTTTCCTTGTAAATATATGCTTTACAGTGGTCTAGAAGGCTGTGTACACAGGTGTTATGGACACAGAATTGCATTATTACATACTATAACCCAGGATATTCCCTCAAACCTAAATATATCATAATGAACCTAAGATAACTCAAGAAAATCATATAGTGTGACTTATTTTTATTACACCTCGACACAATTGTAATACAGCCTCTCCTCCTTAGCAACATATGTACTCGCTTACCGATGCCTCAGACTTACAACAGGCTCTCTGACCAGTATTTATACCTAAATAATGTATATTAGAGCTGATTTCCTCTATTCTGTTTATTTCAATATATACAGTACACTGTATAAACATTTAAAAATATACGAGAAATATTATAAATAGTGCAAAGGTGACATTAAAATAATATCAAAGATGGCTGACACAAACCCACTACCATTATAGTATGCTCCTCACTTAGAGACGAATTTGTTTAACGACGTGGTCTTAGGAATGAAACTCCGTTGTTAAGTAAGGAGACTCTGTATAATCATATTTGTACACTGCACTGGACCTTCATGAGTTCAACACATCATTTCAAATGTAATAATAATAATATGGTATACTGGTAGAAGATGAAAGTGGTAAAAAAAAATATATAGTAGTATATAGCATACTATATTCCAGGTGGAGCAATGTCCAATTTATGTACATCCTCATGTTTGAAATGCTAAAACATCTTGAAACACATCTAATATCATTTGAAACTAGTGTACACAGTGTTAGACATTATAAACAATAAAAATTTTTTAAAAACAATCATAAGTTGACATCAGTAAATGCAAAATTTAAATATCACTGGCACATTTATACTGCTGTCATCTATAAATGATCATTTTTCACCAAATTCAGCACAACATAAAATTGTAATTTACATCCTAGTCTCTTCCTTTTTGTTTGAGTCTACTTTAAAAAATACTCTTTCAAACTAAGAAGTTTCATTTTTCAAGATTTTACCACACAGGTAATTTTATTTCTGGGTATGCCACAGTTAGTAGATTAAGGCTAAACTGTACAGCAGTATAACTTGACCCTGTGTAATGACCATCTCTGCAAAGAAATTATTATTATTAATAGAAATTCTACTCATGTGGGTCATACAACTCTCAAATGAAGACTGGATTATGTATATCAGTGCCTATGACCCCTTGGGGGAGATTTTTTTTGATGAAGGCAAGGCTATTGATGCAAGGAATTTGAACCTGTCTTCCACTTCCTTGGATTGAACCTGATTGCCTCCCATTTCCTTATGTTGTATGATCATTATGAGTTTTGTGCTTTCCCTTTAATGTACTAATATCATAACATAATATCGTTTGTTATAAGTACCATGAAATTATAATTAATGAAAATGCCCAAAGTTATTAGCATTTCTTCCATATTAGCAAAAGGATCAATTATATTTAAAAGATGCAGAAGCACTGATAGTAATAAATTTTAATAGTAAGAAGTTTTAAGCATAGATGAGCTGGATATGCAAGTACAGGTATATTCCAAGCTGACAACTTTTCATGTGACAAAAAAAAACATGAAAAATAATGAATAGAATTGTACATAAGATACATTACTTTTGTATGCCATCAAGAGTAAGTGCTGTGAGGCAGTCACCTACTTGAAGTGATAAGGTATGGCTACATCTGATAGGTGTATAAATGCCTTAACAACACAGGTGTTCACTGTGTGAGCTTCTCGATCCTTATATAGTTTTATATTTATGTTTATACATAAAAATAAAATGAAATCTTATTAGCTGTTTCATTATCATTTTTTTTTTTTTTTTAATGAACACTTCACCCCTCAAGGAAGGTTCCTTGATGTTGGTGAGGGGCTCTTGATTTGGGGAATTGGATCTGTGCTCCAGTTCCCCAAATTAAACCTGAATGCCTTCCACATCCCCCCCCAGGCGCTGTATAATCCTCCGGGTTTAGCGCTTCCCCTTTGATTATAATAATAATAATTAATGAACACTTCAGCCATTTCCCGAGGCAAGGTGACCCGAAAGAGGAGAAACACTTCCATAATCATTCACTTCATCACTGTCTTGCCAGCAGTATGCTGACATTAAGTTAGAGAAACTGCAATATATCTCCACCCCTCCTCCAGAGCATAAGCTCTGTACTTCACACCACCAGGACTTTGAGTCTGGCTAACCAGTTTCCCTGAATCCCCTCATAAATGTTACTTTGCTCACACTTTAATGTCAAAGTATCAAAAACCATTTGCTTCCACAAACTCCTATCTAACACGCTTGCTGGAAGTCTAAGCCCCTCGAATGCAAAATCTCCTTTACCCCCCTCTCCAACCTTTACTAGGACGACCCCTACTTCACCTTCCTTCCATTACAGATTTATACACCCTCCAAGTCATTCTATATTTCATCTCTTAAGTGTCTGAACCATCTCAACAACCCCTCCTGCATACTTTTAGAAACCCCACACCACCTCCTAATCTCCAAGCTATGGATTCTCTGCATAATATTCACACCACAACCCCTCAGGGGAGGCTCCTTGACACTGGTGAGGGGCTCTTGATCTAGGGAATTTGATCTGTGCTCCAGTTCCCTGAACTGAGCCTGAATACCTTCCCCTCTCTCCCCCCCCCTGCCACATGCACTGTATAATCCTACAGGTTTAGAACTCCTCCATGATTATAATAATTATATAATTCACACCACAAATTGACTTCAAATACGACATTTCTACTGCCTCCAGCCTTTTATTTGTTGCAACATTCACCACCCATGCTTCACACTCATATAACAGTGTTGGTACTTCTATACTTTTATACATTTTCCTCTTTGCTTCCATGGGTAATGTTCTTTGTCTCCACAGACTCCTCAGTGCACCACTCGCCTTTTTTTCCCTCTTCAATTCTATGGTTCACCTTGTCTTTCATAGACCCATCTGCTGACAAGTCCACTCCTAAATATCTGAACACTTTCATTTCCTCCATACTCCCTCCCTCCAATCTGATATCCAATCTTTCATTACCTAAATATTTCATTATCCTCATCCTCATCTAATATCTGGTTATCATTATGTTGTTGATTTTGCTATAGCTTGTGCAGGTGCTGACTCGCCTAATAGTAGCCTCACTCCAGAATGCTGTCAACAGTGTCTCCCATTGGGCCACTATCCGGGTTTAAATTTTGTAGTGCCTAAACACAAACATTTACTTCCTCATTTCCCTCAATGTTCAATCGTTCCCTAAATTATTCATATCCTCTATGCTCACAAATATCTGTATCATTAGGTTTTGAATTTTGCTATGTCTGTGCAGGTGTCTGGAACCCTAATATACCTCACCTACCAGATCTGTCAACGGCTGAACCTCCCTTAGCCCCTAGTTTCGGGTTAAGTATGGCTTTACTTCACCAGGGTTCGACATCTAGTACTCTAATATCTATGGCCCTCAAGAAGCTCCTTAAATGTTGTGAGGGGCTTGATTTTGGATTGATCGTGCTTGTTGGCCTTACAATAACTCCTGAATCCACTTGCCATAGCCGCTGAACCTCCTAGCCCTTGGGCGCGTACTAAGTAGGTTTAGCGCTCCTCCTTGATATAATAATAATCATAAATTCTAGCGCCTTCAAATCTAGTGAGAGAAAGCTGGTAGGCCTATATATGAAAGAATGGGTCTATGTGGTCAGTGTGCAGTATAAAAAAAAATCCTGCAGCACACAGTGCGTAATGAGAAAAAAAAAACTGACCGTGTTTTTGGATTAAAACAGCGAGTTTGCACTGTATTTTCGTATGGTATTTATTGTTGTATTCTCTTTTTCCTGGTCTCATTTTATAGAATGGAAGACACATTACAGAAATTGAGATGATTTTGACTGGTTTTACAATGAAAAGTACCTTGAAATTTATCTCAAAGTAGCAGAAATGTTCGATTTTTACCAAAGTTCAAAAGTAAACAAATCATGCTAAGCGTCCAATACACATCAACTGGTGAGTCTAATATTTTTTCACAAGTGCGCCGATATTATTTATACCATTTCTACACTAATGCAGTAGTCTGCATAACAGTAAATCTTCTATTTTTTGTGAGAATAAAAATTCAAAATGGAAAGCAAAAGAATGTAAGAGGGGCATGGGGACGTGACTAATGAACAGAGGAAATGTTATTTTAGCGCCAGGAATGCTTTCTTGTTTATTCTGGACCCTATTTGGAAATTGGCATCTCTTGAAATTTGTGTGAATTGGCAAAATTGCTAAATTCTGACCACTGTATTGGATAGTTCAAATCGGTAAATGGGTGGTTTCTTGTACTCATTCGATAGAAAAAATGGAGTTCTAGCGAAATAGTTATGATTTTTGTAGATTAGTACACTGGAATTGGCCGAAATTAGGACTCAAAGTGGGCAAAATCGCCGATGAGTAAACATCGTCGAGACTGCTAACTTCGCGAGAACATAATTCCGCAAGTTTTCCATCAAATTTCATACTTTTGGTGTCATTATGATCGGGAAAAGATTCTCTATCATTTCATAAGAAAAAATAATATTTTTTTGAAACTTGGGGGACCCTGAGAACAAGTCTCTGAGAGGGGCTGTGGACCCTGAAAGGGTTAAAATCCTTGCTCATCTTTAATGGGGGGCAGATCGTCGAACCCTCCTTCAACTGCATTCAGCCTTAATTTTATCAAAGCTAGATTATAGTGACCAGATATATTCTGCGGCCTCTTCTGCAACTCTTTTTAAACTCAATCTCATCCATCATCAGGGATTACGTTTATGTCAAGGTGCTTTTCACTCCTCACCTGTCGAGAGCCTCTATGCAGAAGCAAACGTCCCATCCTTGAATGATCTTGATGCTCGTTGCCTCCGCTATTTTGTCTGCTCTCATGACCTTCATGATCCTTCTACATACAGGATAGTAGCAAATGTTAGCAGAAGTCCATCATTTGCTTGCCGCCCCTGTTTACTCCATTCCTTTTCTCTTTGTCTTCAATCGCTCATCTTCTCTTCAATTGCCCCCTTGGGAAGTTCCGACAGTTCCTGTCTGTTCTTCCTCCCTGCTGTGCGCGAAAGCCCAAATCCCTACAGTTGCTTCTCACTCTCTAAATCATTTCCGATCTCATTCTCATTGCAGTGTACACTGATGGTTCTAAATCCTCTGATGGTGTTAAGTTTTCAGCAGTGTTTTCTGACAGTGTGGTGCGAGGTCATTTATTAAGATTCGGCTAGCATTTTTACAGCTAAATTGTATGCCATTCTCAATGTAATTATCTGTATTATATCTATGCCTACTTCAAAGTTTGTAATCATCTCAGACTCCTTTAGTGCTTTGCAAGCTATTAAATAATCTTATTCACCTCATCTCTTAGTTCTTCATATACAACATTGGTTACGCTGCATTACTGAAGTTTTATGACTGATCGTGGGTTCTATCCCCACCCATGGTATGATTTGTTTGCAATCGTGTCATTACGATTTCGGGAGTCATTAAATCGTTTTCTGTTGGGTCCCTGGTTATGTTGATGTTCAGGGCAATGAGCAAGCAGACTCTGCTTTGCAATCTGCGGTACATGCAATCTGCAGTACATAACCTACCAGTTTCATACAGAGGTATTCCATTCTCTGACTATTTTACTGTAATCTCTACCCACTTTCACAACCGTTGGCAACAACATTGGTCTGACATGACTCATAACAAATTACAGTCTATCAAACCAAGTTTGGGTTTCTGACCTTCTTGTCATCGATACCGAGGTTGGGAGACAACACACACTCGTCTTCGCATCTGACACACTCTAACTCATGGGTATCTCGTGGAAAGGTGTCCTGTTCCACTTTGTGAGAATTGTCTAGTTCCCGTTTCAATTTCACATATTCTATTGGACTGTCCTGTCCATCAACTAGCACACAGAATTTTTCTCTGACGTTGTCACCACTCTAACGCCCTTACTTTATTTTCCCTCCTTGCTGACGGACCCACCTTTGACACAGACTCCCTCTTTGAATATCCACTAGGAATTTTTATTGACCTAAGAAAAGCTTTTGACACAGTAGACCACGACATCCTACTCCACAAACTTGACCATTACGGTATAAGAGGCCATGCGCTTGCTTATTTCAAATCTTACCTTACTAATAGGTATCAGTATGTTACCATTAAAGACACAGCATCAACAACACGGCCACTTGATACTGGAGTTCCGCAGGGAAGTGTCCTTGGTCCCCTGCTCTTCCTCATATACATCAATGATCTTCCAAACGTATCCCAACACCTGAAACCCATTCTCTTTGCTGACGACACGACTTATGTCATCTCTCACCCTAATCTTGCCACCCTCAACACCATTGTTAACGAGGAGCTGATCAAAATATCGACTTGGATGACAGCCAATAAACTTACGCTTAACACTGACAAAACCTACTATATTATGTTTGGTAGCAGAGCAGGAGATGCACAAATTAACATTAAGATCGACAACACTCTAATTACCAGACATAATGAGGGCAAATTCCTAGGCCTATACCTTGACAACAACCTGAATTTCAGCACCCATATCCAACACATAACCAAAAAAGTATCCAAAACAGTTGGGATCCTCTCCAAGATACGATACTACGTGCCGCAAAATGCCCTTCTCACACTATACCACTCACTTATTTATCCATACCTCACCTATGCTATTTGTGCTTGGGGATCAACTGCAGCAACACACCTAAAGCCAATAATAACCCAACAAAAAGCTGCAGTAAGAATAATCACTAAATCCCATCCCTGGCAACACCCCCCCCCCCACTCTTCCATAGATCTAAACTTACTCCCTGTTCAGTACATCCACACTTACTACTGTGCAATCTACATCTACAGGACCTTAAACTCCAATATCAACCTTGACCTAAAACGCTATCTTGATAGTTGTGACAGAACCCACAGGCATAACACCAGACACAAACATCTCTACGACATTCCCCATGTCCGACTAAACCTTTACAAAAATTCAATGTATGTCAAAGGCCCTAAAATCTGGAACACCCTACCTGAGAACTCTAGAACTGCAGACACATTCATCACCTTCAAAACTACCTGTACTCCGTGGAACACAGCGAGAGATACATGATAATATACACTAAATCCTAGAGGGACTAGTTCCAACTATGCACACGGAAATCACTCCCTACGAAAGCAAAAGATTCGGCAGGCGGCGCAACTTCTCAATGAAAAGCAGGGGTGCCATGAGTATGCTAAGAGACAACACAATGCCAGAGGCCCAAGACTGTTCAACTGCCTCCCAGCATACATAAGGGAGATTACCAATAGACCCTTGGCTGGTCAGTACCTGACCAGCCGGGCTGTGGTTCCTTCGTTGGTTTGCGTGCGGTCAGCAGTAACAGCCTGGTTGATCAGGCCCTGATCCACCGCGAGGCCTGGTCATGGACCGGGCCGCGGGGTCATTGACCCTCGGCATACTCTCCAGGTAACTACCTACAAAAAAAATCTTGGGTTCTTCAGCCACGGACTAAGCTTCGAAGATAATATCACAATAGCACAACGGACGGATTTTTCTTCACAAAACTATGTAAAGGACACACAGAGGCTTGGGGCGGGTTGCTATTTAGGCGAGGTCTGTCAATATCAAGGAAAAATTAAACCAGGAAATCTATACTGCATTTCAGGCTGGCCAGAGGCAGCAGTGGCCACGTCTGTATGTTAGAATTCTGGCGCGGCGGCGGCGGCTGAAGTAGGAACTCGACGTTGTTCGCTTAAAAATCATATTATAATGCTTGGAATTGCACTATTTTATCTAAAAATAGTATTATTATACAAAGGACTAAGTGAACTACAAGACATATTGTAAAGAGAGTAACCCGCTTTATCCGAACATAGTATTAAGTTAGCAACTGCAATACTTTATAAAACTAACCCTGATGCTTTCTGTAAACTAGTACGTAGTGTTATTGATAAAATATAGGTGATATTAGAATGATATATGTATCACTGTGACCATGTCTCTACAAGAACTACAAACATTGGTCGAGTGACGACACGGTATGTAACATTTTTATTATAGTTTATTTTTGGCAAGGAAATGTAACCTCATTTCCAACGTCTCGTTAGTGAAGGCTTAAACACTACATTAGAAAAGTAACAAATTGGTCACTATCACAACCGTATCCTAAATAGCAAAGGGAGGAGAGTAAAAAAAAAAACAAAATTAAAATATATGAATTGGAGTTTGACTCTTTTGTATTGTCGCAACACTGAAAGTATAGAATAACTCTTCCCTCAACACTATAACAGTAAATATTTCGAGGTAAAGTGGCGGTGAATTATAAAACACAAACACAAACGACGAAATACAATTTACTATCTCAGGACATGCAGCTATTTACAGACTAAATGCGTTTCCCTAAAGAAACTATACAAATACTGACTTATAAATCATTTTAACATATTTAAAAAGGGGCCATATAACTGAATAATAACATGAATCTATAGAAGTTTGACGGGCAAAACTCCATGGAACGCTAAGCAATGCGGACGATACACTGCCGTGTACCCTGCTTACCTGCCTGCTCACAAGTGTGTGTGCTGACATGTCTGGCGGTGTGGGGGACGATGGGTGTAGTGCAGCAGCTGCTGCAGAGCCACAGGGTGATGCTTGTAGGACAGGAGAGTTACCTGTGGAAGGCCTGGCACGATTCCATGGATCCCAAGCTTCCACGTCCGCCAGCTAATCCCAAAGTTGACTACCCAAAGGTTCAGGTAATGCCACTGAAGGTTCACTTGTTAATTAATTTGACTATTTTCGCTACACTTTAGAACACCATCTCATTTCCCAGGTCATGACGAAATTTCTTGCATAAATCAGGGCTTTTCCATGTAAGAAACTTTTGTATCAAATGTATAATAATAATAATAATAATAATAATAATAATAATAATAATAATAAATTTTTGTTATTGTTATTATTATTAGTCAGTAGCACTGCTACGCTGTCAGTATCTTCTCTTTCTTCCCGTCCTGTAAGTTTTTACCGTACATGTGAAAATGCATACTCGAAATTTCAGTGTACACCTGGCCGAATATAATTGTAATTATAATTATTATTATTATTATTATTATTATTATTATTATTATTATAAAAAAGAAAAGCTGAACTAGGCCGAATATAAGCACTGAGCCACCAAACCTATTGGTAAATAACAAATAATATTTTACTGAAATTTCAAGCTTGCAAAAATGCACGAAGGGCAATTCATGTGAAATTGGCTGCCCTAACTGGAAAATACGTTTTCTCATTACTTAGCTCACTAAAAACTGTGGAAGCCTCTATAGCGTTGTTTCTCTGGACACTGATCATTCACTGCAGTGTTCCTTACAATACTATCTCACTTTTTAACTACACGTCGTTGCTCAGGGTATCGCATCTTTGTTCGGATTATTAACCCGAAGTGTTAGTAACCCAGGATAACCCAATAAAGTTAGTTATCATCGAGGACTAGATTATGTCCATTGGAGTTCTTTTATCGTCATCCCCAGAATACGACCCATAACAGTCTGCTAACACTCAGACACTCACTGTCAGGTGAACAGGTTTTAACAGATGTAAAGGAACATGGCCAACGTTTCATCCATGCCGGAGAACAAACCCTAATTCCTCGGTGTGTGAACCGAGAATGTTATCAACTAAACCAACGGGACACCACTATACATGGTCTTTCAACATTTACAATTTCCTTAATACCAGCGAAGAGCTCTTTTCCGAGGAATTGAACCTCTCCTCGGTAACAGTAGATGACACCTCCTCGGCGGATTTCGGTCATCTGGTCAACAACAAAAAATCGTTGTCAAAGTATTTGAAGATATTTTTTTTTTTTTTTTTTTTATATTTTATATTTGAAGATATTTAGGGTATTTTGTGGTTGCTGAATTTGAAAATGGTAGTAGGTTATTCAAATTGGCTCTAGTTTGTGAGATATTGTATACCTATCCTCAGTTAACAGGAAACTTAACCATAATGCGTGTATATGTATGTATATAAGAACATAAGAACATAAGAAAGGAGGAACACTGCAGCAGGCCTGTTGGCCCATACTAGGCAGGTCCTTTAGAATTCATCCCACTAACAAAACATTTGCCAAACCCAATTTCCAATGCCACCCAAGAAACAAGCTCCGATGTGCAAGTCCCACTCAAATCCAACCCCTCCCACTCATGTACTTATCCAACCTAAATTTGAAACTACCCAAAGTCCTAGCCTCAATAACCCAACTAGGTAGACTGTTCCACTCATCAACTACCCTATTCCAAACCAATACTTTCCTATGTCCTTTCTAAATCTAAAACTTATCTAATTTAAATCCATTACTGCGGGTTCTCTCTTGGAGAGATATCCTCAAGACCTTGTTAATATCCCCTTTATTAATACCTATCTTCCACTTATACACTTCGATCAGGTCCTCCCCTCATTCTTCGTCTAACAAGTGAATGTAACTTAAGAGTCTTCAATCTTTCTTCGTAAGGAAGATTTCTAATGCTATGTATTAATTTAGTCATCCTACGCTGAATGTTTTCTAACGAATTTATGTCCATTCTGTAATATGGAGACCAGAATTGAGCTGCATAATCTAGGTGAGGCCTTACTAATGATTGTATAAAGCTGCAGTATGACCTCTGGACTTCTGTTGCTTACACTTCTTGATATAAATCCCAGTAATCTATTTGCCTTATTACGTACGCTTAGGCATTGCTGTCTTGGTTTAAGGTTGCTGCTTACCATAACCCCCAAGTCCTTTTCGCAATCTGTATGGCTAAGTTCTACATTATTTAACTTATAAGTGCTAGGGTTATAGACACTCCCGAGCTTCAGAACCTTGCATTTATCCACATTGAACTGCATCTGCCACTTTTCTGACCAAGAGTAGAGTTTGTCTAAATCCTCCTGAAGTTCCCTAACATCTACGTTTGAATCAATTATCCTACCTATCTTCGTGTCATCGGCGAATTTGCTCATATCACTAGCAATTCCTTCATCAAGATCATTGATATATATTATAAACAACAACGGGCCCAAGACTGATCCCTGTGGAACGCCACTTGTTACAACCCCACTCGGATTTAACCCCATTTATGGACACTCTCTGCTTCCTGTCTGTGAGCCATGACTCGATCCACGAGAGCACCCTCCCCCAATGCCATGAGCTGCTACTTTCTTCAACAGTCTTTGGTGCGGAACTCTATCAAATGCCTTACTAAAATCTAAGTAAACAATATCAAATTCTTTATCGTGGTCAACAGCCTCAAAAGCTTTTACTGATGAAAGTTAATAAATTAGTTAGACAAGACCGGCCTCTTGTGAATCCATGCTGAGTATCATTAATCAAGCTATGCTTATCGAGATGGCTTCTTATAATCTGAGCTATAATTGACTCTAGCAACTTGCCTACAATTGAGGTCAGGCTTATTGGGCGGTAATTTGACGGTAACGACTTGTCCCCTGTTTTAAAAATAGGAATTACATTAGCCATCTTCCACATATCAGACACTACACCTGTTTGAAGAGATAAATTAAAAATATTAGTTAATGGTTCACAGACTTCCATTTTGCATTCCTTAAGAACCCTTGAAAAACCTCATCAGGACCCGGTGACTTATTTTGCTTCAGTCGGTCTATCTGCTTCACAACCATTTCACTAGTGACTGTGATGTTACATAATTTATCTTCTTCTGATCCACTATAAAAATTAATTACCGGAATATTATTAGTGTCTTCCTGTGTAAAACCGAGAGAAAATAATTATTTAAAATCGAGCACATTTCATTCTCTTTGTCAGTAAGATGCCCATAGTTATTTTTAAGGGGACCTATCTTATCTCTGACTTTTGTTCTATATACCTGGAAAAAACTTTTTGGATTAGTTTTAGAATCCCTAGCAACTTTAATTTCATAGTCCCTTTTAGCTTTTCTTATCCCCTTTTTTAATGTCCCTCTTAATGTCAATATACTGATTCATAAGATGACCCTCGCCTCTTTTGATACGCCTATAAATTCCTTTCTTAAGCCCTAGTAGATATTTCAGCCTATTATTGATCCATTTAGGGTCATTTCTATTTGATCTAATTTCCTTATAAGGGATAAACGTTTTTTGAGCAGCATGTATTGTGTTCAGAAAACTGTCATATTGATAGCTCTCTTCGTTACCCCAGTCAACAGATGATAAGTGTTCTCTAAGCCATCGTAATCTGCTAAGCGAAAATCTGGGACTGTTACTGAGTTATCCCTACTATCATACTTCCATTCAATTCTAAATGTAATTGATTTGTGGTCGCTAGCACCCAGTTCCTCTGAAACTTCTAAATTATTAACAAGGGATTCATTGTTTGCCAGAACTAAGTCAAGCAGGTTATTTCCCTTGTAGGTTCTGTCACAAACTGCTTCAAAAAACAATCCTGAACTACTTCTAAGAAATCGTATGATTCTAAATTCCCAGTCAAGAAATTCCAATCAATATGACTAAAGTTAAAGTCTCCTAGAATTACTACATTATCGTGCCTTGTGGCCCTAACAATTTCCTCCCATAGTAGTCTCCCTTGGTCCCTATCTAAATTTGGGGGACGGTATATTACACCTAAAATTAATTTTTCATGCCCCTCTGAAAATTCTATCCAAACAGACTCTGTATGTGTTACTTCAGACTTAATACCCGTTTTTATGCAACAGTTCAAGCGATCTCGGACATACAATGCCACCCCACCCCCCTTCCCGATACTTCTATCTACTTGGAACAATTTAAAACCCTGAATGTGACATTCTGCAGGCATGTCCCGACTTTTTGAATTAAACCATGTCTCAGTAATGGCAAATACATCTATGTTACCTGCACTAGCAACTAGTCTCAACTCGCCCATCTTATTCCTAGCACTGCGACTATTTGTGTAATAAACTTTTAATGACCCTCCTCTCTCTTTACCCTTCCTGCTTTTTTCTATTATTCCACTAAACCTATTACTGTCCTTGTCAATTAGTGCCACTGGCTTTCCAATATCCACCTCATTTTGCCTATTACTAGTTCTCCTAGTACTCATATTACTACCCTGCGTCTTCACAGTTTTCCTGCAAAAACCCATACCTCTAACTAATCCTAGTTTAAAGTCCTAACAACCCCCTCAACTGAGTTAGCAAGAAAAACCCACACCTGCCCTGGATAAGTGAACCCCATCCCTGGCATACATGTCATTTCGGCCATAGAAGTTGTCCCAGTTGTCAATGAATGGTACTGCATTATCCTTACAGTGTTTATCCAGCCAACAATTAATACCAATTGCTCTGGACAACCATTCGTTACCAACACCTCTTCTTGGCAAAATGCCACATATAAACAGGGCGCCCCCCTTCTTCCTAATCATGTCTATAGCTGTCCTGAACTTTCTAACTAAATCCTCACTTCTACGCTTGCCAACATCATTGCCTCCGGCACTGAGGCAAATAATAGGATTGATCCCATTACCGTTCATGATGTTGTCAAGCCGGCTAACAATGTCCTCCATCCCAGCCCCAGGAAAGCATACCCTTTGTCTCCTACTCCTGTCCTTCAAGCAGAATGCCCTATCCATGTATCTAACCTGGCTATCCCCTACAACAACAATATTCTTACCTTCCTTGTTGTCGTTCGTCCTGACGATCCCAGTAGTAGACTCACATTCGTCGGGTAGCACCGAGAATGCGTTGGAGGTTTCCACGGGAGTTTCCACAGCAGTCTCTTT